AACACTGGGGTCAGGAGCGGCCAAACCCCACTCAGTAGGAAACGACCACCCCGTAGCACTTTGAACCACGAAGTAGTCCCGCTTCCACGCCGGGACTTTGTTTGGGAGATCTTGTAAGAGCTTGAAGCTCGGGCGAGGTGACAAGTAGTACGCCCTCCTACGCTCGGGCAAGGGACCTACTTTTTTCTTAAGCATGAGAATAGCGGAAAAAATTTCTAAGTCCAAAGGAAGGCAGTGCTCACAGCAAAGGGAGATGGTCCCAACAAGGTTGCAGATAGAGTTCGGGTGAAGCTGACCTATAGTGACGCCGAAGTGGTTCATAACCTCGACGATTTGGGGATGGAAGGGAAGGCGCATCCCAGCAACAAGCTGCTCTTGGAATATCACGATCTCATCTAGACCGTGCTCCCAAGGAAAGTTGCCCGAGGGTAAAAAGTAAGTATACTCCCCGGGCAGGTTGTACTGGACGATAAGGGACCAAAGACCTTCGGACGTCATAGTAGAGGGTCCAAACTTGTCTGGCACCCGACCTCGACGAGAGGTGGATGCCAAACTACCCGAGGTGACTCGGTCTACGGGCTCAAACTCGTGCTCATCCTCGAGCTCTACCTCGGGCCCCCCCTCTGACTCATTAAGGCCGTCGGGGGCAGCAGCTCGGTTCGTAGAACTAGCGTCTGACCCCCCAGAGGGCTATCCGTGCTATTAAAACTAGGCATCGAAAACAAAGAAGACTGAGGACTCACTAGAAAAAGCTACCGAACTACGGACGAGTGACGCGAACTAGCTGGCTTGGACGCGAGCTCAAGGAACAAACACTAAAGGATAACAGAGGAAAGTGACTGGGGGTCCCCCCACTATTTAAAGCCACTGTACCCATGCATCAACGGCCAAGATCGAAACCATCCAATGGCTCCCCGCAAAGTCAGCTGCGCACTCCCCGACGAAAAGACACTTTGGCGCGCACGTTCGAGATTTCGAAATTGTTTGGCACGCACGTTCAAAAATTTAAAAATTTGAAAATCGTTGGCGCACGTGAGCCACACGCAGCCCGGGACTAACCCTTGGTCGAGCCAAGCCAACCCCGGTTGAGCCGAGAACACAAGCAGACCGGACCAGAAAAGTTTCTGATCAAGGCCAAAGTGTGCCGAGGCAAATCCACCTGTCATCCCATGAACTCCCCACATCGGGTCAAGAACCCGAGCACGAGGAGTGGGGGGCAATTGATGAAGGAAGATTTGACTCGACCCCTCGGCCATGTGACACGTGGAAGCAACCGAGAGTGACCTGGCAGAAATGCCAGCTCGGCACAACAGCAGGCCCACAACCCAAGCTCCGAACTAAAGATTCGAGCTCACTCGAAGGAACCTGCAACCTGGGCTCCGAACTAAAGAGGGCCGAGCTCCCTCGAAGGAACCTACAAACCAAGCTCCGAACTAAAGAGTCCCGAGCTCTCCCTTCGAGGTCCTGAACCTTACAAAGAGAACCAAAGGCCGAAAACCCAAACTACCCACCTAGGGGCAGTTCGGGCCATACTCCTATCCGAACTCGAGACTTCACATTAAAAGACCACTTCGGCTCCAAATCACCTGATTGAGCAACCGAATTTGACGCCCAAGAGACCGTACACGGAGGCGGCACACCTGATCGATTAGAGGACTGACACATGACAGCCGCCATCCAATGGCCACCTGCCACCGCCATCCCAGACGGACAGAGGCGGCCCTGGCAACTGGCAGTGGAGGTTATGACACCCGAACTGGCAGTTGACAGAAGGAAGTGACCCAATCTGGCAGAGGCAATGATGCCCGAACTGGCAGAGGCATGGAAGTGAGCACACAAGGTGATTATAAAAGGCCCCCATCTCGCAAAGAAAAGGGTATGTTATTCTTGCTTTTTCTGGTCTTAGAATTCCTCATTTCCCTTGCCTTATGAAGAACACTAACTTGAGCTTCGGAGTATTTCAACCGAGTTCCTCCCCGGAAGCCTCCATTTTCTCCCTTGTTTCAGGCACCTCCGATCTCATCAGAAGCGAGGTAACCGGCAAGTAGGACAGACCAGATCACGCATCATCACAACCGTTAAGTGGCATTTGAAAAAGACACAAATTCCCTTCGAGTGTCATCTAATTTTCTTGATCAACCATCCAAATGTTGACAAAAAATTAACAGTCCCAAACCCTTGCATCTTCTATTCAAGAAAAGACAACCATTTTGAATTTGTTAATATTTAAGTTATGGTGGTTTTAGATTGATTGGCTTCAAATCCAACCCAACATAACCAAGTTGCCTCTCTACCAACCCAATCCGAATCAGCCTAACCTCCTATAATTTTTATTTAGAAGGTTATATGTAGACTAAAATATATGATCAACCAAGCTACAAACTCATGCACATACATTGTATGTGAATGTGTATCATTTTATGGTATTTGACTATTATACCAAAAAAACTTATAACCAATCAACAGGCATCATAAAAGCGATAACCAATCAAGTGTTTTTTTTATAAAATTCATTGGGGGAGGGGGATTGATTGGTCAATCCCTTTTGATATCATGTCTTTCCGGCATCTAATCAAATTTCTTATGGCATAATGTCTTTCCAGTATCATAGATTTTTCCTAATAAAGGAAAAAGGTAAAATTGCAAACAATGAATAAGGAGGCCTTCAAACTCGCTCAGCCCACTTAGAAATGGGTTGCATTTAGCTCAAATGAGTTGGGGCCTGTCAATTCAGGCTTTAACATTGGGTTGGGGCATTGGCCCAAGCCCCAAGGTCCACATTTTATGGTTGGTTAAGGAGTTAGTTTTAGTTGCAAACATAACAAGTTCTAAAACTTCCATGTCCTGAAATGCAGTAATGCAGTAGGGAGATCAAAAGATTCATAAGCTGGAATACATGGTGGTTTTCCACCATTTACTCTCACCAAAATCATTTGCACGAGCACTTTTCACTTGTTAAAATAAAATAGTGAAATTGGTTAACTAACCATTGTCGATCTGTTACTGTTCTAATGTAGCTTTTGTTCTTTCTTGTTCTTCTCTTATTTTATTGAAAAACCTAGATGGTGTTTGTTTTATTGAAAAACAGCACCAGTTTAGTGCTATATTGGCATTTCATTCAATAGAGTTTGAGATCTTATTTAGTTAAACTGTTTATCAAATAAATATTTTTCTTGGACTGTATAAAAATGGGATTATAATTGATAAGGGCAACTTTTGAGCTCAAATATCAATAAAAATAATATTTTTAATATAATTTCTCAAATAGGTTAATCTTTTAAAAAATATATCAAATAAGGGTAAAAATATTATTCATTTTCTTCCTCCTATAAACCATTCATCAGCGCCACTGCCTGCCGCTGCTTCCAGCAACCTTTGGCAACGCTGATTGATAGAAACCTTTGTCCGGCAACGCCTCCTCTCACCTCTACCTCTGGCAACGCTGATTGGAGTTAGTAGTGATGAGAGACGAGTCCTGTGTCTTCTTTGAGGAAGAAGATCGTTTGTTCTTTCTGCAACCTCCGACCACTGGAACGTTTCTCAGTGATCCTCCTTTGGTCCAATACCTCCTACATGCCTTGCAGAAGTACCTCGGTTGTGAGAGGCTGTAGTTGTAGTAACAGAACTTGGTGTTAGTCGAATCACATCTTGGACATTTGAGCGCCTGCTCTGGCTGAGGCCTCGATTTCCTCTCTTGTTGTGGCTTCGGATACGCCAATATATCTTCTAGTGAATGGGTAGCCATGGCCTGGAGGGATCTCAGCAGAAACACAGGAAGAGAAAATTAATATCAGCAGACATGGAACTGGTGTAGTTTAGGGTGCAATTTCTATTAATAATCTTGATGATAATTTTAGAAACCTTCGTCAATGCCGGCATTGATTGGAAGGAGACCCAGGAGTGCAACTGTATTCCCGAAGGCGGAGGTGAGCAGAGGCATTGTCGAAGGTTGCTGGAAGCTATGGCGGGCGGCAGCGTTGATGGATAGTTTGTAGGAGGAAGAAGATGGATAGTTTATATCAAAAATATTATTTTTATTGATATTTGGATTTAAAAATTGCTCTTATCAGCTCTTATCCAGATATTATCATCGGGAAATATTCTCAATACACGGCGAAAATGGGCTGTGGGGGGCTGATTTGAACTTGTTGGAGCCTTAATCAGTAATCAGGAAGCAAGGAATGAAACAGCTGAAGCAAGGATTCAGTCCTTTTTTTCTCAAAATGAACGGATACAACGCGAAGGCTCGAACACGAAGCAATGTGAAATGCTGTCCCTAATAATGGACGATTTTTACATTTCGGAGGAGCTACAACAAAGAAGTCGCTTGGGTTGAGCCATTGATTTAAAAACCAACCCAGAGCCGCTTGGGTTTGACCATTTATATTGAATGGGTATTTAAATATTAAATTATTGGAATTTTAGGGTATTGTAGAAATGGGTTATGAAATCCTAAGTTTTTTGGAATTTGATGGAAATTTAAGGAAATTTTAAAAATTATTATTAAACCTAAAAATATTTTAATAATTCACCATTGGGTTCAAGACGGGTGTGAAGAATTATATGCAACCCTGTCCCCACCTCATTCTCCATTCGGGGCGGGGCCCCAATTTCATGTGGGTTTTTTTTGGTAAATCAGGTGGGGCCCATTTGGGAATGCTAGAAGCCTCTGTTATGAAACCCTCCCAAACGGGCACCAGGGGAAAGAAGCAAAGAACAAAATTGATGGTCTTTGTGTAATGGATTGGGGGCATTTAAGTCAAATAAGGAGAAATCGAACAATGGTAGATCAGGAAAGGACCTACCTGGCATAAGTTCCTAACCGAGTTCCAACCAATGAAAATGTCCCGCGTAACCTCCATTCCACCTGTAACAATTTCATTAGCTCAGACCGTCTTCCAAACGTGGCATCCTCGAATCAGCAATCGAACTCTCGCTCTGTTCCGAAGTTCGGACCGAAGAATTGGACTGAAAGCAGACAAAAAGCCAAATAACGACCCAAAAGGACAAATAATAACACTGAAGGAATCGAAAGAAGAGAACAGCGCACATTTGCTCGAAGAGACGAAGATCCACGTAGAAAGCACTTCGCCTTCTGAGATTGCGGACGCCGAGATCGGGATCGCCTCCGGAGCTCCGCTCTGGACAGTACGGATCGAACCGTGGCTCCCTCAGGGCCGCAGAACCTTTCCCGAAGGAAACCCTCCTCCTCTTCTTCTTCTTCTTTTACTCCAGGTCCGCAAACCCTTGTTTCGGGACCGACTCGAATTGTATACAGAGAATCAGGGCCTTCTAAATCTGATTTTCCGTTTTGGCAGCAGACCTGGTTCATCGCCCTCCTCTTCTTAATGGCGATTGGTTTCTTCGCGCTCGCTCTCTTTCTATTCCTGGGTCTTGATTTCGAGCAGGGCTCTCCCACTCCCGCTTCCGCCGCCTCCGAAGGCGTTGAGGTACTTCTCCCTGTAAAAAGGCTCTAATTTTTCTTTCTCCGAATTGATTGAATTCGAAAGGGATCTCATCTCGAAGCTTCATCTTTGTTGGTTTCTGCCAGGTTACTTATGGGACAGTTCTTAAATTGATGCACGAGAGGACGAAATTCCGGTTGCATTCACATGAAGTGCCTTACGGTTCGGGCAGTGGGCAGCAGTCGGTTACTGGTTTCCCTAATGTCGATGACTCAAACAGCTACTGGGTACTTCTTTTTTTTGTGTGTTTTATTTTATTTTCATTTGATCCATTAAGAGGAGAAGGAGTAATTTTAAATTTCGATTTCCATGCAGATTGTTAAGCCTGTTCCAGACCCATCTGCTAAACAAGGTGATAAAATTAAGAGTGGAACTCTTATCCGACTACAGCATATGAGGACTCGAAGATGGTTGCACAGCCACTTGCATGCATCCCCAATTTCGGGCAACTTGGAGGTTGGTTGATTAGCACCTTTCTAATGTTGCTTGTCAGCTTGTCTTTTTATTTGCAGATGTTTGAAGTTATTGAACAATCTCTGTTTCCCTTTTTTTTTCTCGATTTAGTGAAACGTTTTAACACTTTTAAAACATGTGTGCATTGTTGCTTACGTCTATGAGCTAATTGGAATTTAGAAAACAAGGCTATAATGTGTTCCAATGCTTGTAATATAAATGATGACTTGGGTTTTAAGTAAAATGGTTTCATACCAATTAATGCTTATTGCTTGCTGAGCAAGGGGTGTGAATTTAACAATTCTCAAAGTTGCATTTTGTAGAATAATTGTTGACATAAAATGATTCATCTTGATTGGAAAGAATTCCTGAATTGTGCACGTGGCTTCATTCCTTCCTTATCATGATAATATACAACACTCCATTTTGTATATTAAGTAAAAGAAGTTGGGTTGAAAAATGAAACTATACTGATAAAACATACACATACACGCACTTATTTACTCTTTTCTATATTCAGTATTGCACTGTTGTATGAAGTTAATCCATTTATTTTTCTCTTTTATAAGCTATTACCTTCTCATATTATTATTTTTCCATTATTTGTATGGTTATGTTATAATGATATGCATATGCTATATGTCTCGGCCTAGTCACCCATTTTGTTTTTCTTTTACTTTCTGGGTTGCTGGTCTTTTTTAGGTTTATATATTGATTTTTCTTTGCCTTAGTATATGATGAACTATATTTCCATTATCATTAACGGATTATATTTACTACCAATCACCATAATCAGTCCAAATGACACTAGTCTGTCATATAACCTATAATGAGCTCAATGACATTAATTTGATGGTGGATTGGTCATACTATCCTCACCTACATTTGGCCTATCAAGTACCAAATCATAAATTCAGATGATTCAAGAGATGCACCATCTCTTGAATGGTGCAAAGGCACATATCAGAGCTAGTGGATTATTTCTTACCCTGATATATTTAGTTTCTTTCCACTTAATTTGTTTATGTAGGTTCCCAAGTTAGTTCGTGATTAGAAGGTTATGCTTGTTCAGGTTTTGGAGCTATATTGCATGATCAAAGAAGTGTTCCTCTGTTTTTTTATCAGTAATAATGCTTGAGGATTCATTAATTATAAATTATAATATGAAAGATTCATCCCTGTAAAGCAGAGATGAGGGAAGTACAAGAAACAACCTATGGCTGACCTACATTTTATATGCTATATGCTTTATTTCACCTTTATTACAGGCCTGGGGCCCCCAAGCTAGATGTGTTTCTTGTAACTCCTGCCCTTGCCTGAGAGACAGCCAGGTTATTTGCAGACCTAAGAGTCCATTGAATGAGCACTTCATATTAACTGCCAAAGCCTTTGCTTTTGTAATCAGGTGTCTAGGTGTCCTAGGGCCAGATTTATATTCTCTAATCAGGTTTCTATAGATTGAATCATGGGGATTTCTTGTTTTATACCAAATTCTACTGGGGCTTATGACTCATTTTCATACTTGCTGTTTTATTTTCCAATTATTTCTTCAATTGAGAGAAAGAAAGAGAATGGTAATACTGTTATTAGTAGGAATTCTCTTATCCTATTTAGAAGGATATCATCTTATTTCATAATTATTTTTTATTGTTTATGCCTCTTACATGACCACTTGAGTAAATGTGGAATAAGAACTTTAATTGGTATTCCTATGATTGGTTCAATAGGTATTTTCTTTTATGGTTCATAGTATGGATTAGTGTAGGATGGACAAAATGGAGGGGTTGCATCTGGAGTCTTATGTGGTAGGTGAATACTTTTTAGATTAAAAGGAAAGATCTATAAAAGAATCGAAAGGACAGATATGCTGTATAGAACTAAGTGTTGGGTAGTCAAGAAACATGTCCAAAATATGAGTATGGCATAATGTGTATGCTTAGATGGATTAGTGGAAAAACTATACAGGATGGGATCAGAAGTAATTTGAAAGAACCTAGGAGTAGCTCCAATAGGTGATAAAATGAAAGAAAAGTACACTAAGATGGTTTGGTTGTGTGCATAGAAGAACGTCGGCAAACTGATAAAAAAACAGACCATTGACATCACCCATAAGGAGTGATCTGTTGCAAGTTGAAGGGGCTAGAAGGGCTAGGGATAGACCAAAAGGACATGGGTCAAAGTTGTAAGAAATGATTTAAGCACTCATTATTTAATAATGGATATGGCGTTAAACAGAATGGAATGACAATGTAGCTGACTCCATATAGTTGAGATAAGGCTTGGATAATGATGATGATTATGGATTGGGTTCATCCCTATTGTAATTGGATCAACTTGTAAACATGAAAAGGTAATAACTCAACTGGACCTGCCCCCTCTTTGTCTGGTTCAAAAAGGGGTAAGGTCTAGTTGAGCACTTACTCTTCTAACAAGATCAGTAGGACCTTTCCTCCACTATTTCAAACCACCCCATTACTTGTTTTTCTGATGATGTGTTTTTAAGAATCAACTCCATTGGTTAATTCAAAGTATCTTTTCCTCTATAGTCCATATAGAAATAGGTTGCCATGGCTAAGAGCAGATATTGATTTTAAGTTGCATTTACAACTCAGTTTGCAATGTATTTTATCGGATGGCTTTGCTTTTTCATTGTTGGGTTGATGGTTAAAGGTAACCAGGTGTTTGAAGAGGTGTTAGGCATTAAAGTTTTGTTTTTTTGGAATCTATCCATGCCATCAGACAGATTTTTTGGCATGCTTTTTGGTATTTTCTTTTCAGTTTCCTAAATATTAGAAAAACGGTTCTTTATTTTTTTCAAAAATTAAAAATAAAATATTGACATTAAGATGTTTAGCTCCCAACTCTTTTTTCTGTTGTAAGTGGAAACTTATTGAAGTCCAACTTTGGCTCTGAATTGTTAATTTAATTTATAAGTGAATTTACCATTTGAAAGGACATGCTTTAATATCTAAATAGAGACAAAATGGGTTTTTGAAGCAGTTAGCAATACATTTTTTGAACTGTATCCAAGGAATTTGTATTTTATTTCCCAATTAAAAACCTTTTTATGAGGGTAAACTGTGACCCAGCCCTATATCCAGTTCGGTCATACCCTAGAAACCGGAATATGTAGAAAACTGCCCAAAACCAGCTGACCAGCTGGTTTAACCAGAAAACCAGTGAACCGGTCCCAGTTTCTTAAAACCACCCAATTTATTTGTGTTCATTTTTGAAATCTGTAATGTACACATTGCATTGATGAACATGTATTTCAAAGAAAATGAGTTGGGAGGTTTAAACTTTGATCAATTACTTCAAAAATTAAAGAAATCAAAATCTGTCCATCACATTCAAGTATAACATTACTTGTATAATATATTTTTTATAATATTTATATATCCTGTGGTATATACATGTATATGCCATGACATCTCGGTTCAACCTCTGGTTTTACTGTGGTTGAACTTCTGACCTGCTCTCCCCTTTCTGGTTGAATGTCTGGTCTGATTCTCTGAGCATTGATAAAATCTTGGTCTGGCAAGTATGACAACACAGGTTCGGGTCTGAGAGGGGCCACTTTGTGCAAAAGATTCCAAAGGTTAGGATGGTATCCAGTCTACCTCTCCCAAGACCCCAGATTGCTGGGATCAACATTCGGTAATGATTTTTTTTAATTAAAAGCCTGTTTAAAATGGCTTCAGCATGCTTTATTTGATGGTGTGGTCTTTGCAATGAAGTTGACTATTTGTGCAACTAGGGTTGGGTTGAGCATTTACTAATTTTGAATGGGCCTGTGTCCAAACCTCAGCCTAATGTAACTGAAATTCTTCAAATTGGTTTCCGCCATAATCACCCAGAGACCTTGCCAGCTGAGCCTGTTGGAACCGTTGTCATACCTGAATATTGGTTTTATGGATAATGTCGAGTGTAGTGCTATGAAACCCTGGATCCCTAGATACCCAAAAATGCTCTACCTTTGATAGCATGAACATGATACGATACAAATTCTGACACTGGATACTGCATTCTTCTAATTTTGTGCTTTTTTTAACATAAGAACTATAGAAAATTTGGCACCTTAGGCCGAGCACTTCCCCCTTGAGAGATGGAGTGGCGTGGTATTCCATGGGAGAGGTTTCAAAAAATCGTGGCGTGTGATGTGAATCATGCAATAGGCACATATTACCAATTGGGCTTCCATGGCTGCTTTGCTGCACTTATTTGCTAGATTTGCGAGGGTATCACCTGACATTTTTTCTTTCAAATTTTCTTTTATTTATAAAGAAAAAGAACTGCTATAAAAAACCCTATTTTCTTAGCTTTAGTATTTTATGCTAGTTATCTTTTCTAATACTAATATCTGGCAATTGATAAAAAAAAATGAAAAAACTAATATCTGGCCAAATTCTTCAAGGCCATCTTCTCTCAGATGTACCTTTTACAAATCACAACTCAGATCCATCAAATCCACCTTTTGCTATTATCTATTTTCCATTTAATTTCTTTGAAATATGCATTTAGTTTGCTTTTAGCTTCACTAATTTTAATTTGTTTAAATTGTTGTTGGCTGTTGTTGGACATTTTACTGCAATATGACCATTGGGGTGAATCTACTATTTTGTTTTTAATCAAACCACTACCGAGTTAAGTACAGTGGTATCTACATTAGTCCTTACTGGATTTTTACTTTGGATGTTTTTAACTTACAATAAGCAATGTGTAGGTGAGCTGCTTTGGAGGAGAAGGTGAATCTGATACTGGTGATTTCTGGAGGTAAGAGCTATAATCATTGTTTGATGATACCTACATCATCTATCCTGTTGATATGGATGATTGCTATTTCCTTTTTCTTGGCATTTTCCTTTTAGGCTTGAGATTATTGAGGGGAGTGGAAAAACTTGGAAACAAGATCAAAGAATCAGACTTCAACACGTAGACACTGGTGGTTACCTACATAGTCACGATAAGAAATACAGTCGGATAGCCGGGGGTCAGCAGGAGGTAAAGAGAGAATCTTTATCTCAAATTTCACGGTGATACAAATTTTACATGCTTCTTTTTGGTAGATGATATTGGCTTACATTGGTGCAATGCTTTGGAAACCATGTACAGGTTTGTGGTGTGCGAGAAAAGCGTCCTGATAACGTGTGGTTGGCAGCAGAAGGGGTATACCTTCCAGTTAATGAAAGCAAATAGAACTGAGCTACCTGATTTCATGTATTAGAGCAAATGTAGGTGTTGGTTTTTGCTTGTTGGTGCTGGTATCAGTCATGTGCCCGTCCTGAGTGTAGAAGGATATTTGTCTGAAGATGACGTCCGTGATTGTGAGGTGAGTCCATTCAATGATTTGTAATCACGAACCCCAGTTTTCATTCTCCAGGGGACTGATGAAACACTTTGATTAGTAGAGCCTCAGCAAATGCGACATATCCACACCAATTCTTCTGACTAGAATATAACTTGCTAATGTGACTGTTATAGTTCAGATGAGTGTGATCACTGTGATGGGTTTGTTTTGAATTCCAAAACCGAGAAATCTTATTATTAATTGATGCTAGGGCATTGGATATACCACTGTATCTCTAGTTTAGTTTCATCAGAGTTGCCACTTCATCTGTAGCCTTTAATGAAGTCCAAATCCTATTACTCGTGTAGATTTACAAAGGGGGCGTTCTGGTTGTACAATTCAAAATCCAATGGGAACCCAAAGTATCTGAAATCCAGACCCACAAAATCTCGGAATGATCCTAAGCATTGGGACTTTCAATGGTTCCAACTTCCGCCAAAATCTGTTGTCTGGGAACTGGAATCCCTTGCTTGGGTTGCAGAGATATGGTAGATGTAGGGTTGGGCCAGCTTACAAAAAGTTGTCTATAGATCTGCACATGAACACTGCACACATCCTGCCTTTTACCACTTTTGATAACGGTTCATTATCAATTTCATCCAAGTTCCCAACAAAATCTCCTCATTTGTTTTACCCAAAACTATTCAAATCTGCTCAGGACAGATCTTTTACTTATACCAATAAAGGAAATATCAAATTTTGGTTCTGCATATAATCCAATGTGTGATTCAATTATTTTATTCTTCTAAAAAGATCAGCCTGTGAAGAAAATCCACCATCATTTGTTCGAGCGTTCAATGGGAACATTGATCAACTCTTTATTCAAGGTGACCATAGACCTCTCCTCTACCCTCTCCAATAAATCCTCGTGCATTGGGAGGGTAGTGGGTTTGATGAAATGCCAGCAGCCATGGCATAAAATAAAGAGAATGCCAGATACCTTTCTTGGTCGTTGGGCTTTGGATTTTTGGGTGGATTAGATTAGGCTTATGGCCAACTAAAGCCTACCTTCAAGTGTATGAGGGCCTGACCAAGCCCAAGCTAGTGCATAGATGTTAGAACCAAGCTAACCCAACCAAAGGAAAGGAACCAACTGCACAACTCAAGCTCAATTCTGGTTAATTTAGATTTGCCCTGGTGAGCAATATTAGAAGAAAATTAAAAGAACTGAAAAAGAAAAAGACTTGAGTCCTTTTACGGCTAATTTGACACTGATCACTAAAGACTCAACCAAGCATAAGTGGTTCAGTCATGTTTGGTGAAAAATCCGGAAAGCCAAAAATAGGTTTACATGAGCAGAGAAATCAATTTTCTGGTGAAGCTGTTTTTAGTATCCTAGAAATCAATTTTCTGGTGAATCTAGGTTTTGGTAATCAAAAAATCAATTCTCGGAAATGGTTCTATCAACACTGAAGCCCTCCCAAATGACCCCTATGGAGGATATGGGTGCATCATTAACATTAAAAAAAAAGAAAAAGAAAGAAAAGAAAATAAGGACATATTGGGTTAGGATTGGGTCGGGTAGACCAAATCTTAAACCCTAACTCAACTCAAAATTAAATATAAAACGGCCAAATTAGGTTTGGGCCCAGGTTGATATTTCAACCCAACTCAGGTTTCAGTTGCATGGATCCAATCCAACTCAAATTTCAATGTGACACCATTAACTCGTCCAGTTTCTTCGTTGTGGTTGCGGCCATGTTAATGGGTAGGATCAAGTCTGGGTCAAGATAGACCCGAACCTGAATTAATAAGTAAACAGGCAGACATTGTTGCATGAAGTCTCTAACAGATTCAAAACCCGCCCTATTATATTTAGTAGGTCTTACTGGATAAGACCCAATTATAACTTACTAGCCTTTTAAACCTTGTATTTACACTCTACATATTTGTATTTGTATTCCTTTCAAATTGAGCCTTAGTCTCAGTTTGGAAGGAGTACAAATATAAATATATACAGTACAAATAAATGTAAAATAATACAAAATACATGATTTTGCATTCTACATATTTGCATGTGTATTCCTTCCAAACTGAGAGGCTAGTACAAATACATGCAAAATAATACAAAATACAAGATTTTGTACTGTACATATTTGTATTTGTACTTTTTCCAAACTAAGCCTTGGGCTGTGTTTGATTTGAAGGAAACCTTTACAAACCAAACCTTGTAAAGGTTTCCCTACCTTTTCCTTCAAACCAAGCATTGCCTTAACGACAGTATGGAAGGAGTGCAAATATAAATATATAGAGTGCAAAGCTTTATATTTTTATATTGTTTTGTTTGTATCCGTACTGTACATATTTGTATTTGTACTCTTTATAAAATAAGTTTAATAAGTTTATTGGGCTCCAAGATTAGGGCGGTCCGCAATTGATAGGGGATTGTGAAAATTGAATTCCATGATTGTGTTTTATCCTACTAGTTGGGCCGATATGCTTTTTATGATTCAGGAATTTAGGATTTCAAGCTAAACCGAGTGAAAAAGGGATATCCGGTTCATTACCTTATAGTCTTTCACAATCCTAGGCTCCTGGTGTGTTCTGTAACCAGTGAAATTTGGCTTTGGAACACAAATAGGGGTGGCAATTTTCCCCGTCCCCGATGGGTACCCGGGCTCCCTAACTCGATGGGGTCGGGGTTAGGGATGGGGCTACCCATGAATCCTCCGATCGGGGATGGGGAATGCAATCCCCGCCCCGACCCGTCCCCGATTAATATTATATATGATATAATATTATATTATATATTATATAAGTATGATAATTATTAATTTATTTATAAAACAGTAAAAACTAAAAGTCTAAAACATAATTCAGAGAAATCAAGAAAACTTGAAAAGTTGGAAAACCCTTAACCCTCGACTAAACCAGTTACCAGTCTTCATTCTTTTGTCTTCAACAGAGAAGATTCAAGAGAGGCGACTGAACCACAAAACCAGTAAACCCTAGCTTCGTGTTCATCGCCAATTCGTCGACCGCCAATCGCCAAACGTCGTCACTGATTGTTGCCCCTGCCCACTTGCCCGTCGGACATCAAACAGAGGAGAGGCCAAACAACTGAGGAAGAGACTTCGTCTTCGTCGCCGATTCACAGACCGTCGACCGTTGTTGATGTCATCGTCACCGTCGCTTTCACCCTTCGAACTCTCTCTCATTAGTCATCATCGACATAAACTCTCCCAAGTCCCAACGGTCCTCTCTCTCTCTCTCTTAGTTTCAGGGATATGGGTCTCCGACAGGAGATTCATCCCCGTCGAAGTCGGGAATGGAGAGGAAATTCCTTTCCCCATCAGGGATCGAGAACGGGGATGAGGTGATTTGGGGGTCAGGGTCGGGGATGGAGAATGTACTGCCCACCCCGAACCCGCCCCGTTGCCATTCCTAAACACAAAATATGATAAATATTGAAATGCATTAAAATCTTGTATTACAGAATACACGGCAGCACATTTGATTAGTCATTGATTTGGTATATTTTTGACAAAATTATTTGTATTTCAAATCCCATATTATAGAATATCACGATGTGCGATGAACTTTAAAACCTACCATTTTAGATACATCACAGTGGGACCCATTCGCCCAATAAACACCAAACTTTTTTGTGACCACGGTACAAAACACCCCAAGTTGTTCAATATTGTTAAATTTGAACCGGATGGCAGCTAAAAAGGGTTTTCGGTTGCCCTGTTTTTAGAAATGCTGACTTGGTTAAATTCACCTTAATTTAAATGTGTTAGTATGTTTTATACCCTCATTTTTTTTTATTGTAAAGTAGTTTTAAAAGATAATCTAGAATCATTGTTATTTGTTTTGACTATGATGCCCTATGATGCTGGGAAAAATTATAAGTAATCAACCGGTATCACAAAAAGATAACCAATCAGGTGGGTTTTCATTAAAATTCACGAGGTATTGATTGATCAAAATCATTTTCGGTATCATATGTATCGGATATTTTTTTTTTGGGTTCAACTATGATATAGAAAAGATATGATATCTGAAAAACTTCTGATCAGTCACTTGGAATCACAAATGTAGTAGTCAATTAGGTGTTATGTATCAAAATTCATGGGTGGATTTTAATTGGTCAAAACTCTACAAATACCATATTTTTTTCACATCATAGATTTTCCCACCTTAATTTTTACATCATTTGGACAAACTGAGCAGTTAAACCAATATAACTGACATTCAGTCACCAAACAGTTGTGTCTCCGGTTTGGTCTGGTTGTGTATGCTACCCATTTGTTGGTAGTATCTTGCCTTAAGAACTACCATTCTACCAATGAAATGAATTGATCTATTCCTCACAGCGCTCCTCACACTGACTTCACATCCCATTGTGTATTGGAAACATCTCCCCGTTTGGTGGTACTATTTTGCCTTAAATTTACCAATTGGATGAATTTGGACTTACTATTCACATAACGCTCCTCACACCGAGTCACCTACTTCATAGTCACATCCCACCATGTATTGGAAATATCTCCCGATTTGTTGGTAGTATCTTGCCTTGAATATGCCAAATGGATGAATTGGAATCTACTCTCACATAGCACTCCTCACTCTCACATCCCACCCTGTATTGGAAACATCTAGGGGTGCAAGTTGGGCCGAGTTTATGGCCAGCCCAGGCCCGATCCTAAAATTTGGGCTTAAGGCCCAAGCCCAAGGTCAAGCCCTATTTTTTCAACCCAAGCCAAACCCACATTGTCTAAAACTATACATATATAAATGTATTTATGCAAATATATATATATATATATATATATATATGTATGTAAATATGTATGCAATATTTATATATATACACATATATATGTATAAGTGTATATAATTGGGCTGGGCATGGGCTGGGTTCAAGCTACATAAGGGCTAGGCCCGAGCCCGGTCCGAAAAATAAAAAAAGCCCGACTTCTTGGGCCCGAGCCCAACCCAAGGACCGAAAATCCAAGCCTAACTTGTGTAAAATTCCGGGTTGAGCCAGTTCGGGCTCGAGTTGGGCTCGCCCAAGTTGCACCCCTAGAAACATCTCCGAATAATAAATAGGGAAAATTCCCAATTAGTACCTCGTACTTTGGGCCTAGTGCCACTTTGGTGTCGTGCCATGCTAGCCTGTAGACCGTGTCGCCCTCCCTTGGGATAACTTGGGGGGTTGGCCCATGGACCAGGCCAAAGCCATTTATTTAAAAAATGATAAAAAACTTAAAATTTTA